GGGCAGGGGCAGGCAGCGGCAGAGCAGGAGCAGGGCAAGGCCTCTGGCCCGCCCAACATCCTCCCCACTCCCCCCCGGGCCCTGCCCACTCTGCGCAGCGCCCGCCCGGATGGGTCCTTCCTCCAGCCCCTCACCCACACTCATCCCCCCGGCCCCCGCTGCTTTCCCTTTCCCGCCTGCCCTGCCCTCCGTACCGGGCCGGTGGCCAGGCCCTGACTGACCCCGCTGTCTCTTCCAACAGTGCCTGAGGCTCCTGTCATTGACACCCAGCGCACCTTTGCCTACGATCAGATCTTCCTGTGCTGGCGACTGCCTCCCCACTCGCCACCTGCCTGGCACTACACCGTCGAGTTCCGGCGCACAGACGTGCCTGCCCAGCAGGGCCCCACGCGCTGGCAGCGGCGGGAGGAGGTGAGGGGCACCAGCGCCCTTCTCGAGAACCCCGACACAGGCTCTGTGTATGTGCTGCGAGTCCGGGGCTGCAACAAGGCTGGCTACGGGGAGTACAGCGAGGACGTTCACCTGCACACGCCCCCAGCGCCCGGTGAGCAACTGGCACGGGTGTGGCGGCCACGGGGGCTCCAGCAGAGGGCCCGGGACAGGCTGGGTGCTCAGCAGGCTCCAGGTGGGCTCTGGAGAGGCCATTCACGCCCTGGGGCCGGGCGGCCTGGGTTCCAGCCCCGGCTCTCCCCCTTGGCATCTGTGTGTCCTGGCCAGGTTTTACACTCCCTCTCAACCTCAGAGTCCACGTCTACAGGCAGCATAATAATACATCATATGGTTACCGTGAAAATTAAACTGTTGTGAGATAATACACACAAAGACAGCAGTTTCCAGCTCACAGTAAGGGCTCAATAAATGTTAGCAAAAATAGCCAGGCAGGTGGTGCCCGCCTGTAATCTCAGCTGCTTGGGAGACTGAGGTGGGAGGGTGGCAAGTTCCAGGCCAGCCTGGGCGACCCGCGAGACCCTGTCTCTATATAAGAAAGAAAAAGTAAGCCGAGTGCAGCGATCAGTCTGTAGTGCCAGCACGCTGGGAGTCTAAAGCAGGAGGGTGGCAGCCTGAAGCCCAGCCTGAGCCACTTAATGACTTAGTAAGACCCTGTCTCAGAACTTAAACATTTTAGAAAGGGCTGGGGATGTATTTCCGTGAAAAGGCCCCAGCGCCACATAGTAACGATAACAAGGACAGCAAAGGTAAGCATTGTTATGAAAGGACCGAGGATATCGGTCAGTGGAGTGTGCTTGGCTAGCACCTGTGGCGCATGGGTTCACTCTGTAAAGAAGAAAAGGAATAAGCAAAATGGCTGTAGAAGATAGTTCACAGCCTGAGGCTGAGGTGTGGGCAAAACCAGCACGCCAAGGGCATGAGGGGTCCGGCTGGGCGCAGGGGAAGGCGTGAGGACCGGGGCACGGCCAGGCTGTGGTGGGAATGTCCCCGTCGAGCGTGCGATGGCGGGGCCTCCGCGCAGAGGGGCTGGGAGCTCTGTGAGGCAGCCAGGTGCGCGCAGTGGTTTCTGCGCGTTGCCCCACGAAGCCCTCCCCAGGCCGGCCTGTGCCCCTCCCCGCCTGCCCTCCCCACCCCCGCCCCCGCCTTGTCCCGCCCCCTGTGCCCCGCCCCTCCCCGCGGTTTCCGGCCCCTGCCCACCCCTGGTGGCCGAACTGTGCTCACGCCTCTGCCCCTGGTGCCAGGGTCTGTCCCTAGAGTCCGTCCTTCTGTCTCAACCCCCCTCCTCCTTCCAGTCCTGCACTTCTTCCTCGATGGCCGCTGGGGTGCGAGCCGAGAGCGGCTGGCCATCAGCAAGGACCAGCGAGCAGTGCGGAGCGTCCCCGGGCTGCCCCTGTTGCTGGCTGCTGAGCGGCTGCTGACTGGCTGCCACCTGAGCGTGGACGTGGTCCTGGGTGACGTGGCTGTGACCCAGGGCCGCAGCTACTGGGCCTGCGCTGTAGACCCTGCCTCCTACTTGGTCAAGGTGGGCGTTGGGCTGGAGAGCAAGCTCCAGGAAAGCTTCCAGGGCGCCCCCGATGTGATCAGCCCCAGGTCAGGACCCTGTGGGAGGCCGGGGAGCCCTGGGTGGCGCTGGGGGCGGGGCAGGCCTGCAGGGGCCCAGCCTGGCTGCAGTGGGGCTGGGGCAGGGGCAAGGGCCAGGCTGAGGGGCCTGGGGCCGGGAGAGATGTCAGTCAGCAGAAGGGGCTTCGAGGGGTCGGATTCCGGCGTGCGAGGGGAAAGGGCGGGCAGAGGGGGAAGCCTGGCCGCTTGCATCTGTCCGCAGGGCCAGAGCACCAGCTTCCAGGCCCCCGGCCCTTTCCGCCTTGTGCCCCTTCCCACCTCCTCGGCCCACAGAACTCCTAAGACCTCCGTCACCCACCACTCTTCCCGCATCCCCGACAGACATTCTTCCTTCAACCCCTCACCCCGCATCCCACTCAGCACCCTCCCGCCAGGGCTTTTCTCCGTGAGCGCTTCCTGCCCAGCACTCTACCCCAACGCACCTCTTCCAAGTGCCTCCCCCAAGCCCAGTTCCCTCCAGAGCCCTGCGGTCCCCAGCCTGTCCCCCTGGCGTCCCGCATCAGCCCGCCTCTGACTCTCTCTGGCATCCCTTCCTGCTCCCACCACCTCCTGCGCCTTAATCCTGAACCCCTCGTTCCTCCAACATCCCCGCCCTCTCCAAACCCTCTCCTCTGCGCGACTTTCCCTTCCCGAGAGGATTTTCGATCCCTCCCCATCTTGCTGAGCACCGCACTGCCTCTGTGTTGCAGGGGCCTCTCCTCCCGCACCTCTGGGCAGCAGCTTTCCTGCCAGCGCCCCTTTCCGCCGCCCGAGCCCCACCCACCCTACGCCCGCGCCTGCCTCTTCAGCACGCCTTCTCCCAGTGCCCAGAATCAGCCCTTTCCGCTTCTTGCCCCAACACCCATCCTCCCAGCTTCTCAGCCCCCAGCCCCCACCCCCTCTTCCTTACTGCAGCCCCCAGCGTCTCCCAAACGCCCACTCCTGCAGGTACGACCCAGACAGTGGGCATGACAGCGGCGCCGAGGATGCCACAGTGGAGGCGGCGCCGCCCTTTGCTTTCCTGACCATCGGCATGGGCAAGATCCTGCTGGGCTCCGGAGCAAGTGCAAATGCAGGGCTCACGGGGAGGGATGGCCCAGCAGCCAGCTGCACAGTGCCCCTGCCACCCCGCCTGGGCATCTGCTTGGACTATGAGCGGGGCCGGGTTTCCTTCCTGGATGCCGTGTCCTTCCGTGGGCTCCTGGAGTGCCCCCTGGACTGCTCTGGGCCTGTGTGCCCTGCCTTCTGCTTCATTGGGGGTGGTGCAGTGCAGCTCCAGGAGCCTGTGGGCACCAAACCTGAGAGGAAAGTCACCATCGGGGGCTTTGCCAAATTGGACTGATCCTCTCAGGTGCCTTCTCCAGCCCTGGGTCTCACTGGGCCCTGGCTCCCCAAGCCTCCTGGCACCGGGCTGTTCCCCGAGCAGCTTCTCCCTGACACTGCCTCCACGTGGCCCTGTCCCACACCCTCTGTCTGTGTCCTCCCAGGGCCTCCTCTTGCCCAGGGCTCTCCTCTGCTCACCTTTCTGGATGTGCCAGGCCTTGTGCCCATGAACTCTCTGCCCCATGCCCTGCCCTTGGCATCTTACCCAAATCATGGAGAGACCCCCTTCCTGCCCTGCCCTGCCCTGCGCCCCAAGGCTGACTGGGAGGGAGGGCACTTATGACACTGGGCATGATCCTCAGACTGCCTTTTGCCTTGCCAAGCTCCCTGCCCTATCCACACTGAGCTGCAGCCTGGGGGCAGCAGGCTTCTGCCTCTGCAGTGAGGGAGAGGGGATCTGATCATCCTGCTTTATTTATTTGGGTCCCCACACCCCCAGCCGCATGTCCCCATGTTCCTCTTCTCCTCTTGCATGCTTTACCTGTCCTGCACCCATGCCAAAGTACCAAGTCTCCCTTGGGGACCAAGCTAAGGCTGGGTGTCCCTCTTGGGTTGGCCAGGCAAGGCCTCTGGTGCCACTGCTGCCCTGCAGAGGCCTGTGCAGAGCAACGGCTGTACTTTTCATGATTTATAAACAATAAACTGTGACGCCAGGCACATTTTTGCCTTCCCTGAGCGCGACTGTTTCTCTAAGCTTCTGTGCCAGGCGTGGGCAGAGCTTTCAGGGGCCAGGTGGATGTGGTGCCTGCGGGAAGGAGTCCTCTAGCGGGATGCCCCAACCCTCCTGCCAGGCCTGTTATCAGGCCCAGGCTCTGTGCCCTCTTAGCCGCCAGGGGGCGCAGCACTCTGGCTGCTGGTACCAGGCCCTGAGAGGTTGTGGTTGAAGGGGCTGGGCACCGCGTCTGGGCCCAGAGGAGGCAGGCAACCAGAACCACTTCCCCATTCCCAGGGTGCCAGGAAGCCCACCCCAGAGGCAGCAGGCAGGTGGGGTAGCCAGGGGGCAGGGAGGGGACAGGGCCTGGTGCCAGCACCCGGATCTGTTCCAGCCCCTGCTTATCACTGCCAGTGTTGACTCTGCTGTTGTTATCACTGCCCAAGGATTTACTTCACACCCGGGCAGCTAAGAATAGAGTCGCCTGGACACAGTGCCAGCACAAAGGAGGCGTGGGCCCCAGGAGAGGGGACAGTTGTGCCCCGGGGGAGCTGAGGCACACAGCCCACCAAAGCTGGCCTGGGCTTTGCTTCCTTCCTCCTGCACCACCAGGAACGGGGGAAGAAATGACTCCCGACCTCTGCAGGCCACCCGTGTGCCCAGTGTCACCTCTTACCCACATGGCCTGCTTCTCAAACCCAGCTCCTTTGGCCTCTGTTCCTCCTGTCTTCTCCCAAGGCCCCTCCCCGGCCTCTTTGAGACACTTTCTGACCACCCTCGGGGCCATGGCCACAGATGAAGGACCACAGGTGGGCACTAGCGACACATTTTATTGAGCCGTGTTTGGGTTCCCACACTCCAAGCTTTTAGGCCAGTCCTCCCGGAAGGGCCAACTTCCCGTTGCCCCACTGCTCCAGGTATTTTCCTGACGGCAGGGTTGGGCTTCACAGGGATAAGATGGGTGGGAGACTTGGCAGAGCCTCGGAGGAAAGCTGTGAGCAGCCCACCTGAGCTCCCCGATCACCAGCCCAGACCCCAGGAGGGGCTCTGGCAGTGAAGACCTGAGACCGGCACTTCTGCCCGCTGCCAAGCGGGTGACGAGCTCCTACAAGTTGGCGGAAGTGGCTGCCACTGCTGGGTTCGTGTAAGAGAGGCTGCCTCCACCATTTCCTGCAGAAACCTGGGTGGAGGGAAAAGGGACTGGGGTGAGGGCCAGAAACCACCTGCCAGGGCTCCTGGACGCCTCCCCGGGCCCAGGAGGGATCCGGGGCCTGGCCTGCTCTCACAGGGTTAACTGGGAAACAGCACCTGCTGGCCCCACCAGCAGCCAGGTGACCATAAACAGGCTGCTCCCCTCCTCTCCCTGTCCTTGGCCATACTCAGCCCCCCTGGCCGCTCTTCCTGCGCCTCTCCGCCTCCCTTCCCTCCTGCCCCTCCACTCCAAGGGTATGTGTGTGTGTGTGTGTGTGTGTGTGTGTGTGTGTGTGTGTGTGTAAAATGGAGAGGACCATCCCCAGGAGGAGGAAAGTGGGGCAAGAAAAGGAAATGTCTCTCCTCCCCCACCCAAGTGGCTCTCCAGGCCCAGGAGGCTGCAGTAATTATTTACCAGGTCCCGAGAGAAGGCCAGGAGAGGAAAGAGGGAGGAGTCCGCTCGCCTGGCTGGCCAGACTTCCTCTCCTTGGGGAAAGCCCCCAGCTTCCCTACCTGCTGTCCACCTAGGAGGGAGTGGGGCACTGGTGCTCACCACTCCTGACTGCATGGAAAGGGCTCCAGGGCACAGCGCCCCACCCCGTCCTCGGGGCATCTGAATGAGCACCACCCTGCTGCCAGTAGAGCAGCGGTAAGATGGGGCAGGCCCAGGCTGCTCTGTGACAACACTAGTGGTGTGACCGCTTGCTGCTTGCTCTGAGGCCCTTGCTCTCCCCAGGCCCGGCCCCAAACCCCTTACCTCCACCCCATCCTGGCCTGGCGCTCCCCAGCTCACCCCTCCAAGCTCCTTGGGTTCCCCCAAATGTTCCTCCCCACACCTGCCTGACCAGAGCCTCTGCCCAGCACCACCCCAACCCTGCCTGCCCCGTGGGCCCCGGCCTCACTTCCTCATACGGGCTGCGCCTGGTGCTGCCAGGGGGCACATAGCGCCCGTGCGTGTGGTAGGTGGGGTATTCGCTCATGGGGTGGTAGGTGTCCCGTGTTGGAAAGATGTCCAGGTGCCCATAGCTCTTCCGGCGGCACTGAAATACAGCCTGGGGAGGCACGAGGTCATGGGGGTCAGGGGCTTCCCACTCCCCAGGGACCCCGGTGAAGGCTGGGCCTGAGCACTTACCAGGGTGATGTAATAGACCAGGGCTAGCAGGACCAGAACGCAGACCAGCACCAGCAGGGCGATGCCCCAGCCTGGCACCCTGGCCTGGGCAGTGGGAGAAGGAGCCTGCACCTCACTCGCTAAAAGGAAAAGCAGTGGTCAGGGCGCTCCCCCTCTGCTAATGCCTACGCCAACAGGGGAACCTGGCATGGGAGGAAAAGGAGTGCTGCTTGGGGCTGGGCTGCAGCTGGGGGCAGAGCTCACCCTTGACTTGTGAGATGACCAGGTTGTATCTTTCTGCTTCCGCTTTATTCTCCGTGAGCCGTGACCACACACTGTAGTCGCTGGCAGTGCCCTTCCGGAAGATCAGCATTGACTCCACTGCCACAGACCCTGGCCTGGTCACAGGGATGGGCCACTCAGGCACAGGCCCGAGGCTCGGCCTCAACCTCTCCCCAGCCATGAACGCACCCCTCCCTGCCACCGTGGCGGCACCCCACAGTCCTACCCAAGCCGTACCTAAACTTGATACTCAAGAGGCCCAGAAAATCTTGTTGATAAGTCTGGAAAAACTGGGGTGAGAGGGAAAGGACTCAGCTTTGATGCAGAGGACTCAAGCAGCCCCAAAGGCTGCTTTAGCGGAGCACAGCAGAGGAAAGGCAGATACCCACCAGTCCAGAAATGTTCTTCTCCAGCTCTTGATAGTAGCGAGTACTGGGATCTTCCAGAGAAGAATTAAACTGGAGGTTCAAAATCTCAAAAAACAGGAAGAAGAGAGAGACCATACCAGACGGCTGAGGGGAATGACTGGAGGGAGGAGAGGGAGGTGCCGTACTGTGCTCAGTGCTACCAGTGGTCATCCCGCTGCCGGGGGTGCCAAAGGGGGTGGAAGTAGGAGACTGATAGCTGGGAAATGAGGACTGAGACTCCTTGCTGACTGGGGTCGTGCTGGCCACAGCAGAGGAGCCACTGTGAGCTAGAGTGGTGGCCAGGACTGACACAGAGCTGGTGGCTGGTGCTGAGGTGCCCTCATGGGCTGTAGGAGTGGGTGAGACAGACACAGAGCTGGTGGTGGCTGGTGCTGAGGTCCCCTCGTGGCCTGTAGGGGTGGCTGAGACAGACATAGAGCTGGTGGCTGGGGCCGAGGTCCCATCGTGGACTGCAGGGGTGGCTGACCCTGAGGCAGAGCTGGTGGCTGCAGCCGAGGTCCCATCATGGGCTGCAGGGGTGGCTGAGGCAGAGCTGGTGGCTGGGGCCGAGGTCCCATCGTGGGCTGTAGGGGTGGCTGACCCTGAGGCAGAGCTGGTGGCTGGGGCCGAGGAGCCATCGTGGGCCGCAGGGGTGGCTGGCCCTGAGGCAGAGCTGGTGGCTG